CGGCCATCTCAACTGATGTTTAATTGGTGATATGTTTTATATACATTTAAAGTAAGTTGGTAATTGTAGATAGATAAAACATCTTGTTGAGAGTGGGATTTGAACCCACGCCCTTTCGGACCAGAACCTTAATCTGGCGCCTTCGACCAACTCGGCCATCTCAACTGATGTTTAATTGGTGATATATTTTATATACATTTAAAGTAAGTTGGTAATTGTAGATAGATAAAACATCTTGTTGAGAGTGGGATTTGAACCCACGCCCTTTCGGACCAGAACTTTAATGGTCCCTTAGACCAACTCGGCCATCTCAACTGATGTTTGAATGGTGAATCTTAGTTTTATATACATTTAAAGTAAGTTGGTAATTGTAGATAGAAGTTTTATATACATTTAAAGTAAGTTGGTAATTGTAGATAGATAAAACATCTTGTTGAGAGTGGGATTTAATCCCACGCCCTTTCGGACCAGAACCTTAATCTGGCGTCTTAGACCAACTAATCAAGTTCTCAAGTTAATCATATCATATGTGTGTAATTTCAGTTAATGCTATCTATGGCATCTCAATAAAATTACAAAGAAAATTTCATTATACTAAATGGACATCAAATATATATTTAAAAAAAAAAATAGACGAACTCAAACCTAAGTTGTATCAATTATGTGTATAATGGCATAAACCCCAACAGAGACATTAACCGCGTGCCTTACTTTTCGGATCTAAGGCACACCTAATGTTCATTGTAAATTATTAATATTTTACTTCCTGTGTTAAAAATAAAAACGAAAATGATCGGTATATATTAAGAAATTTTAATGTCTTTTACGCTGGTGCAACTCGGTGCCTGAGATCACAACACCTCGACATGAAACAAACAGTGATTTGAATCGATACTTCTCAGACCTGCTTTCAGGAAGAACATTCAATGATGCCGCACCCAGTTTATTGAAATGGTACAGTTACTCAATCCGATTCAGATTTGGAATCATCTCGATCACGATGACGATGATGATGATGTCGGTGTTTTCTTCGACGATGATAATGATCCGAGTCATGACCGTCGGACGCATTAGGATCTAAATGACTTCCCTTATTATACTTGCTTGCTGACTTCTTCCTCCTTTGCCTGTCCGTTTCAGTATCAGCAGATGATGAAGATTCACGACGACGTTGTTTCTTATGCTTGCTCTCTGAATCCCTCCTCCTTTCCTTATCAACTTTGAATTCTGAATCAGTCGATATCGATGTGTGTGTCCGATGTTTCTTCTTATACCTGCTCTTGGATTGCTGCCTAATTTCTTTATCACTTTCAGATTCATAGGAGTCCAAGGATGATGACGACTGATCACCATCACGACGTTTCTCATGTTCGCTATGAGATCTCAATGAATGGTGCTTGTGCTTGCTTTTCCGCTTTGAATGCTTCTTAGATTTGCCTGCAGAGAAGTTGGAGAGAAGCGGAGGAATCTTGCCTCCACCCAGAAATCCTGAAAACCAAGTCAAAGACAGTACATAAAGTTGAGATTATATATGGAAAAGAGATCATAGTAACTTGTACAACAAATTATACCTCCATATTCATCAAATATGTCTTCTGCCACTATCTGCTGGTTAGGATCATCGGGTCTGAAACCACCCCTAGGAGGGCTCATACCTGGTTTCTGTTTCAGTTCCCACTTCAAGGGCTGCAGATATAGCACATAATACTTAAATAACACAAAAAGAACCAGAAATCAAATACCAGAACATGATGTAAGCTAGAGTGAATATTCTGAATCACAACAGCTATATCACATGATGCATTGTGCTACACTTTGGTTTCATATGAGACAATAATAATCCGTAATTGTCTCAATAGCGTAGACACCATTGGTGTAAACTTCTCCACTCCCCACTAGAACACAATATAACTGCATATTCAAGGCCAACCACATAAGATTGCATCATCCTGGACAACTTGGCAAGAAGGCCTCTTATAATCTCCAGTTCTACTTATCCAGGCAAATGCAAGCTATATATAACTGAAGAGTCAACTTCAGTCTAAAATGACAACACAATTGACGGTGAATAGTCACCGACTTTTACTGGAAGTCAAGGCATGGCTCTACATATATGTAAGTATGATAATCAGCCAGCCACATAGGTCTAATTTCTTAAGGTATATAGATATTACACAGTCAATCAAGATACCTAGCCTAGAACAAAAGGTTGAGCCAGTTGACAATTATAATTATACATTATAACAGAACCACTGGTATATATTAGCTTTCTTCAGAATATTTTGTTTTCCCTACTTATAGTTATATGCATAATCATCACTTGGACACAGATGTCTTCATTATGACTTGCCATCCGACCCAAATTGGGTTTAGTTAGCTTTTAGGTCAAGCTCTTATTTGTGATAACAATACCATTTTCTTAAAATTGTTGAGTTCCAAGGATTTAACATGCAACTGCTCCTTTATAGAAATCATGTGAACAATATGGTATCATCGCCTGTATATGCTCATACAAGCACAAATACTGTGATATCTGATTGAAAAAAAATTGGAATGGAGTGTCGCACTTGCAAAAGTTCAGAAGTTAAAAGTCGCTATAAACAAGAGGAGACTGTTCAGAAGCTAAAGTGGCTATAAATAGAAGTTAAAGTTCAGAAGCTACTTAACAAAAATGATATACCACATCGGTTTTACAGGAACAAACACCAAGAGCACAAACTTTTATAAAAAACAAACTCCATTACTCCAGGGTCACAGATTTAATTGCCAAGTCCAAACACGGAACTTACTAGAAAACCATTTCAATCAACAAATTAAAAGAAAATCCAGCCTTTAGTATAATATTATGTTTCTGGTGTTCTAAGTTTTCATTGCATTCCAAATGGGAGCATTTGTATTTTTCACTAATAGCTTACTGAAAATCATGTCCTCATGCAATTCACCATCTAAATTCCTATGAATATCTTATACATTTGTAGACAAAAAGTAATAACATATCTCGTGTATGAATGGTCAAGAAAAATTTTGAGGGAGAAATCCCCCTTGTGTTCTGATGTGGCACAAACTAAGCAGCATGACAACAAAAAGTCAATAACTCAAACAAGGAAGGGCACAAGTTAAAAGATGCCCTTTAAATTACATAAAACTTTGACTTATTGTGAAATAAATCAAAGAGAGACTAGCTTAGAAAAAATATTAAAAAATACTATAGTTTTATAGTGCCTTTAAAGAGGACCATTAAAGCACATATGTCCAAAGCTGTATTTTATTTTATAGTCCTTTAGGGATACTACCCTTCAAAAGGTTATGTAAGTTATAAAAGAATAAAGAAAGGAATACTATACTTGCCTCGGAAGTATCTGTCTGTGCCATTATAGCTGTGAGAGGATCATCTCTCTTCAACCGACTCTCTTCATTGGGCATTATTACATCTTTCAAAGGGCATTCACGATCACCACTTTGGTGACCAAAGGTTCCGCACCTTACACATCTTACGTTGCGAATTTCAACTCCAAATGGTTTTACCCTCGCAGGTACACCAGTCTCTAGCCTGCAAGGCCAAAGAGCAGATATTCCATTAAATCAACTGCGAATTTAAACAGGACTTCGTTTCACTAATAGGTATTCATACCAATTAATGATAAACAAATGAGAAAAAACCAACCAACATAATGACTTTCAACAATTGGGGTATTGTTTTAAATAAGATAGAATTCTCGACTAAATAAGTGATAAAAAGATCAATCAAAACATAATAAAAGGGGCATATAAACATATTCTATCATTCCAATCAATATACCCAACGCAAAGAACTAAAAGGTGCACCTTGGGGCATTTTTCAACACTTCAAATTCTTCTTCTGTTGGTAAAGGCCGACCAAAGACATCTTTTGGTCTTGGCTTCTTATCTCCTGCCTGACTCTTGGCAGCTTTCATATCAGGCCTACAAGGAAAGACATTTTCAGCAGAATATAAATCCTCTTAATGATACAGATGCTCAAATAAGTTGATCAATTTCTGCTTGAAGAATAGATAAAAAAACATGAAACTTTTGCAAAACTGTAGAAAATGAAAAAGATACTTTATTGAGCTGGTTCCTTCTGTAGGGTTCTGCTCTGTGCTAGTTTGACCCAATCTCTTCTGTTCATCTGCAATCTCTGCAGCTTTGGCACTTTCTGGGTTGTAACCAGGTGGTCTGACATACATGAAACTCACAGCTTTCATCATCTCCACCTGAATATATAATTAAATAGGTGATTTTATTCAAACACAAGTGGCATTTTTTCACGAGACATTAGAAGAAATAGAAACTTGTTGAAGATCACAAATATGATAATTTTCTGTTGTTCGAAAGAACATTTGATTCTGCTGAAGAATGAGTCCCACCCAATTTTTACATCAACAAACTTCTCATATTTGTACCTGAGATTAATCCCGCCCATTTCTAAAGCTTCTAGGAAAATGAGAAGCTAAACAATCAATTGACTCAATGTTATTGTGATACCAATTTGTCCTGCACTGTTTAACTGATTGAATTGCCAAAGTTCTACAATTTGCCAATGTCATTGATCAAATGGACCCATTTCCAGGACTGTGTGACAGGCATATATTACCAGTTTGGCTGTCATTGGCACTCAATTTTGTTCCGAGTGAGAAAATGAATTACATGATTCCTATATTACTGATTTGACCAATTTATCAATCTAAGAGTGCCGAAATAAGAAGCATTAGAAGGAAGAAACAAGAGAGGGCAGAAGAAGATACAAAGAAAGAGTTACACATGGAAAAAAGAAAACTGTATTGACATACAATCCAACAATAATTAGCAATTTGCTACTCTTATATAAATGATATAGCAAATTGCTGAACCCAGATACCTCACTCAATTCCTTGATTCATGTATCTACAATTCATGTAAAAAATAATCACGTTCTCTTGTAAAATAATGGTTTCGATTTTTGAAAACTTCAAAATTTTGAAATCCCAACTACATTAACATACCACCATTGACATTGTCAACATGGTTCTGATCATATTCATTTTACATTTGACTCTATTTAGAATAATCAGCTTTTTAATTCAATATTGTTTTTACAACAAACAGATTCTAGTGGGTTACGGGCAGGGTTTGCAGTACCGACCCGTACCGCTCATTACAGGTGGTACGTACCGGTCCAATACAGGACAGGTACGCAAACTGCCCTCTACTGGGCGGTACCATAACCTAACCCCATATCGGGCGATACAGGATCTGTACCAGATGGTAACGATCGAAATCTGCCCGTTACCAACCTGTACCAGTCAGTAACGGTCGAATTTCGATCATTACCAATCAAGGGCTGAGATTGCCCTATTTCAAATGGTCAAATTGACTGTTTGAACCATAGGAAAGAGTTTTTAAATCATTTCCTCATCCCTCTTTCAACTCATATCACTCTCTTAATCTCTTAAACTCTCTCAAACTAATTCTCACTCACATCTAACAATTCAAATCATTTCTTTATAGATAATTCAATATTAACGAAAGGATGGTTCATAACGTACCACAAAGCTACTCCTAAAGCCCTAAAAAGATGTGTCACTATTCTTTCTTAATTTAGATTATTTTCACTAAAATTATATTAAAATTATATTTATTTTCAACTTAAAAACTGTAATCTAACTTTTTTTTCTACTTTTCAAGTATTTTTGGAGCTATTTTTGATTTTTTTAGGCGTATCGATTCATACCGTCGGTATGCCTCGGTACGTACATACCAACCATTGGTAGATCCACCGGTATGAACCGAAATTGCAAACCTTGGTTACAGGTATGACTTTATATGTTTGGGAGGATCTTTGAAGAATTGGTGCGATCTTGGCTACTTGCAAGTTCACCATAGTTGAAACACAGGGGCTCTGCAGAAACAAAAAGAGGAAAAATCCTCAACTCTCACAAAGAAGAAAAAACCTCCTGTCAGATTCCCCTTATCCACAGCATCAAATCCTATTAACCATAAGAACAAGGATATACCATGAACAAAAGAAAGACCTTCCTATTACTAAAATTTAATGCTATCATTTTACTACCTTTAGTTTTTCTTTCTCTTGAACTACTAAAGAATGCAGCAATTAGCTCATCCTTTTGCTCTTACAATAAAACCATAACGGGAGGAAGCTCAATAATATACTGGACTTGATGGAGAAAAAAATCATCTTGTACCATACATATCTAATTTTTTAATATTTCACACCAAGATGTTTTTTTTTCTTTCTTTTGCGAAGGATAAGTGATGAAGGCGGATTGAAGCCCAAGACCTTGTGATTAACCGTCAAAGTCTTAATCAATTAGGCTACATGACACCTTCGTGAAGATGAAAAATTGCAAAGCACCAAGAAAAAGGCAGGAGGAAGAAAAACAAGATGGAACTGTGAGGGCTATGTCGTAACTTAACGCGGAAGCAATAGGCCAACACAGACAAAGCATGCACTTCTCTTCTCTTGCTCATTTAGGACTATCTGTGACGGTTCCATGTCGATTAATCGAGCAGAAAGGGTTGAGGTTACCTTCTCCTTCTCTTTCTTGGAGAAGAGAGCCGTCTGCCGAAAGAACTCTTGCTCCTGAGCAAACTGCAAGGAAAAACACCCAAGAAAGGATCATCGATCCGGGCGAGGTGATGCGTCATGAAACATTCGAAAGATTGCAAACATAGGTCAGGCGACGGGCAAAAGGTGGAAGATGGGGGCTACCTCGCGGGCGACCTCGTCGGCGCGACGGGCGTGGTTGGCGTGGGTCTGCTCGGCGATCCACTTGCGGCGTTGGTTGGGGTAGGAGAGTGGGTGCCAGGGCTTCTGGTTGAGGTAGGAGTGGCTCCACGCCGTGCCCACCTTCGTCTTATAGTCCACCTCAATCCCGCTCTCCGACGGCCTCTTCCCCAACCTCCCCCCTCCGCTCCCCGTCACGTCCTCCTCCATCTCCCTCCTCCGCACGACCAAATCAGAAACCCTATCTCGAACGATGCATCGCGAAACGAAGCCCACTATTTAGAGGTTTTTTTTATATACTATTGACAACTTTTTACTAATTTCTTTAAAAAATTAATAAAAAAAAGGAAGAAGGAAGAAGAATATGAGAAAAAGGTGGAAGAAGAAGAGTAAGAGGAATGATATTTATTGAAATTATTTATAATTTTCAAAATCAAATTATTAATGAACCAATTCGAGAACTGATTCTCTTGAGACGAGTTGGATGGTATGTAAGTGCCATAGTTGATGGTACAATTAGATCAAATAATTATAAACTTATTGAATATAAACTATTAATTTAAAATATCGAGACTCTTATTAAAATTATTTTATTCATTTAATCCTTATTAATCTATTAAAATCTTTTTCCATGTGACTTTATCGAATGAGTTACAACAATACTTTTCCAACGATGAGTCGTAGCTCAAACTCAACCATTCGGGTTGATCATTCCTCTGAATGTCAATCTCAAATGCTCATTCCTCTGAACTACTTTTTTTTTCCTACATCTCTCAAATGTAATCCCGTCCCTCACATTTGCATGCTAAGTGTTTCTATGAATGTTTGTCCTGTTTTGATACAATTTATTACGAACTTAACTAGTTTTGCCTAAATCATATTGTACCCTTGCATATCTATCCGCAAAGGTTAAAGGTTAGTCTTTTCAAAATCTCCTATGGTCCCTTAAGATCTATAAAATTATAAACGGAATGTTCGACGTAAAAATTATAAACGGAGTGTTCGACTTCTTCCATAATTGAATCATGTCCAAATAAAACTATTTGTAAGAAATTTTG